AATATAATTAATTGAGCTCTTAAGGAAGTCAAATTAGACTAATTAAATTATGTGGGATTTGTGATTAGTTATGATTAATTAATTATGTGCTAGCTAAGATTTATTAAGATCAAGTGTTGCTTAATTAAATTAATCCTAAGCATAAATTGCATTATGGAACAAATTAGAATTGTGGGTGTGGGTGTGGGTGCGCTGAGAAACTTTAGGTGGGTGTACTGAGGAATCTGTGTATGTATGTGCCTAGTGAAGTGTTGTGCTGGAGCCTCAATATGTGAGGTGTGTGCACGTGTTGAAGGGAGAGGTGTGCATGTGTGTTATGTGTAAATGAGAGAGTGAGGTTGAACTCATTTTCTTTCTATTGGAGAAGCTCAAAAAAGGAGAAGAACCGAGAGGGAGAAAGAGAGAACAAGGAGGGAAGAAGAATCATCTAGGTTTGTGCTGGAAAATTGAAGAAAGAACTCAAGAGATTCAACAAATTAAAGTTCTAGGTAAGGAATCTAAGCTTAATTCTTGCAGGAAATTCATGTAAAAATTTGATTTAAGAAATAATGAGCTCAATTTCATGTAATTAGAAGGAAATTAGTAAGAAGATGTTGAGATGATTATGGAAATTGATTTAGAAAGTAATTATTTTGAGATTGATTTTTATAATCTTGCATGAAATCAAGCTCCATTGCTACATGCATGAGGGAATTCTATGAGTATTTAAGTCTACATTTACATGATCATGCATAATAGATTTCTTGAATTGAGTCCCATAGATTACATGCATCAAGATTTATTTGAAGATTTGGTCCATGCAATGGAGTTAGGTTCAAATTTATGGAAATTAACCTATAAATTAATTATTTTGGGTTTGATTTTGCATATCTTATATGAATTTGAGTCTTATTTTTACATGCATGTAATTTAGAGAAATTAAAGAATTAATTCATGAACATGGTTAATGTTAATCAATATGGAAATAATTATAATACTTCAATTGAGCTTGGGCTTAGAAACCTTGATATATATGAGATATAAATTTACATGCATCATGGATTTAAAATAATTGATTTCATGTTTTGATGTAATGAGAATTAAGCTTTGGAAAATTATGGGTTTATGAACAAAGAACTTAATTTGTAAATTAAAGGAGTTTTGATGTAACTGATTTAAAATTGATCATGTTTGATGAAGATGAGCATCAATTGTGTTATTTAAGTTGAAAATGAACCTATCGCACATGCATGTGAAATTCAAAGTGATATGGAAATTTATTTGCATGTGAAATTCAAAGTGATATGGAAATTAATTTGCATGAGTTTTAAAGATATGAAGTTGGTATGGGTTGTCAAGAAAAATTTGAAATAATTTGGAAATTGAATTATGATTTTAGACAAATTAGACTAAATTTTCTTACGGCCTCATATTGTATAACGATTTCCATAATTTTGTATCAAGAACATGAGTTTTAGACCCTTTGAATGCTAAGTTTGAGCTTCAAATGCAATTCTGGAAATTCTAGAATTCTGCATGTCCGCTTGTGCGGGGAAAGCGCCGCTCGAGCGTGAAATGTTGGCTTCCAGAACTTTTGCAGACATTGATGTCTGCTCGAGCGATAAGAGTCACGCTCGAGCGTGGAAATATAGTAACCAGTTCTTTTGCAGACTAAAGGGGTCCGCTCGAGCGGCTAAATCCGCGCTCGAGCGGAGAACCCTGTTCCTGAAATTATGAAAAATGGTTTTGTGTTTTGTTTTCTGTTTTCTTTCATTTCTAAGCACTCTTAGGAATACATTGAGCTTTGTAAATGACCTAAAGGGTAAAGAAAGAAGCCTAAGAGAAATAAATAGATTAAAGAACGGATTGAATTGTTTGTGACCCAATATGTGTTATGAATTGTGTAGGGTCAAGCATAAGGACGAATCCACCGGCAGAACACTGTGAGTAATATCTTAGTAAAGATATGTTCAAGTATGTTGTTTTCCCAAACGTTACTTCTGTACATGCCTTATGGATTTGTATGTTTGAATTAAGAATGAGTATTCTAAATGTCAGTCTTTTGCTTAAGACTAAGTGAATATGAATACGATCATGATCATGAGTATGAAACACACATAAATCCGTCTGACATAAATAATTGAGCCAAAGACCGTCTGACATGAATGATAGTCTGACATGAATAATTGGGCCAAGGACCGTCTGACATGAATGATTGGGCCAAAGGCCATCTAACATGAATGATAGTCTGACATGAATAATTGGTCCAAGGGCCGTCAGACATGAATAATTGGACCGAGAGCCGTCTGGCATGAATGATAGTCTGACATGAATGATTGGGCCAAAGGCCGTCTGACATGAATGATAGTCTGACATGAATAATTCGGCCAAGGGCCGTCTGATATGAATAATTGGGCCAAAGGTCGTCTGACATGAATGATAGTCTGACATGAATAATTAGGCCAAGAGCCGTCTGACATGAATGATTGGGCCAAAGGCCATCTAACATGAATGATAGTCTAACATGAATAATTGGTCCAAGGGTCGTCAGACATGAATGATTGGGCCGAAAGCCGTCTGACATGAATGATTGGACCAAAGGCCGTCTAACATGAATGATAGTCTGACATGAATGATTGGGCCAAAGGCCGTCTAACATAAATGATAATCTGACATGAATAATTGGACCAAGGGTCGTCTGACATGAATGATTGGGCCAAAGGCCGTCTGACATGAATGATAGTCTGACATGAATAATTAGGCCAAGGGCTGTCTGACATGAATTTGAATTAAGAATGAGTATTCTAAATGTCAGTCTTTTGCTTAAGACTAAGTGAATATGAATACGATCATGATCATGAGTATGAAACACACATAAATCCGTCTGACATGAATAATTGGGCCAAAGGCCGTCTGACATCAATGATAGTCTGATATGAATAATTGGGCCAAGGGCCGTCTAACATGAATAATTGGGCCAAGGGTCGTCTGACATGAATGATAGTCAGACATGAATAATTAGGCCAAGGGCCGTCTGCCAAAAGCCGTTTAACATGAATGATTGGGCCAAAGACTGTCTGACATAAATGATTGGACCAAAGGCCGCCTAACATGAATGATAGTCTGACATGAATGATTGAACCAAAAGCCGTTTGATATGTTTGGGCTTGAGGCCGTTTGATGTATTAGATAAAAACGTGAATGGGCCTAAGGTCGTTAGATATTTCTGTTACGAATTTCATTCATGTAACTTCTTTATTTTGATATTATTCACTGGGCTATCGCTCACTCTCATTTATATGTGTGTAAGTGAGCAAAGAGATGTCCAAATCCAACCTCGGTGAAAGATATGAGAGGAAGTCAAGTTTTGCGGAGTCAGCCCGCACATCTCACGCACGTGACCTTATTTTTGTTCTTGTGTTTACACTTTTGCTTTATCGATGAATACGTTGGATCATCCATGCATATAAGTTTGGACTGCATGTCTTGAAGTTCCTGGATGTATAAGATATTAACTTTGTTTTTATGTGTGAGTTATTATGGACTGCTTATGAAATGTTTCGCTTTATCATGTAAGCACAGCTCATTGGACAAAATTTTTAAGTCTGCTTCCGCTTTTTGCCCCATATGTTTATTTAAAAATCTGTTTTCTGTCTGAGGTCGTAGGTAATCTAATGATTACTGGCCGGTTATGATCCTAACCTATAGGGGCGGGTTCGGGTCATGACATAAGGCCTCCTATTTGCTTAAAGAACCTGCAATGCACACCTAACCTATAAAATAGAAGATTATCTTAAGTTTTATTTGTCTCATGTTATTCTTTACCTCAGGTACATTGGAATTAACCTTGTGAAAAGGCATCCACTCCGAAGCAAAGGAAAAAATTGAAGCTGCTAGGTAATTGAAATGTGGCTAATGGCTTTATTAAGAACCAAGGAACTACCATGTGTTTGTCATTCTCATCAAAAATAAAATAACTAGAATGACAAAACGTACGTGTATCTAAACACAAATATGCAAGAAAAATACGCTAAAATACAGATCAGTACAACTTGTGCACAATCATAAATGCAAGTTCAGGTTGCAGTTATCTACAGTACATAAAAAATTAAAAAAGTAAAAAAAAAAAAAAAAAAAAAAAAAAACAAAAAAAAAAAGTACAAGTGTGACCTGTGTACTTTCAAAATGCACAGATAAGGATAGAAACAAACATACTATATTCTAAGGATGTACAAAAAGAAAAAACAATGAAGAAATATTAAAAAAATTGAATCAGGATAAGGACATAGAGAAATTAATATACCTTTTATTCTCTTCTTCTTTTTTCAGTTTTTCACTGGCATTTTTGGTGTCTATTGACCCATTACTTGGACTGCGAGATTTACTTATAGGAGACAATGAGGTATTAATACTTCTTTGTCTCTTATAGTGCCTCGGTGTAGGAGAGCGACGTTTACACCGTCTTGCTGTAAGAGAGCGAGTTTTACGCCGTCTTAAATCTATCAACATGCTAGAGCAACTAGGCTGTAAAAATGTTTACAATATATACACACACACACACATATATATATATATAAAGACACTCCAACTGAGCATGTTTTGGCATGTTGATGGTGGCCACACTCCCTTTGGACACCACACATGCATAGAAGAGACTAGAGCATTTGATTGTTCTGTAGGCTTTACCAAATTGCCTAGTACACTACAAAACTACAAGAACAAAATAGACAAAGATAGTTAATCTAAAATGGGTATCCACATTAGTTCTAGAATCACAAGCCCAAACAAAGTCAGAAAAATCAAATTTTTTTTCTCTTTCTGAAACAGTTGACGATGACACTAACCAGTACTTATAAGGGTGCACATTTAATTATTAATATATACGTACCATATACGAAATTCCAAATATCAAAGCAATGAAAACAAAAAGGAAAAAAAAAAAGAGAACTTGTAATCAAATAAACAGAGTAATTGGACCCGGCAATTGCTAAAAGCGCTATACCTGAAAATCAGAAAGTTATTCCTTAGTCAATTCAGTTGTGAAAGTTGAAATAACCACGGAATTGTTCAGTTCTTGCAGTTTTTGGACAGAAGCAAGGGCTCGATTCTTCCCCACATCATCCTTAGAAAAGATAAAATTGCTGGATAAGTCCCACAACTCCACAATTCCCTCGTCATGCAAGGTCACAGACTTGATACCAGCAAGAACAAGGTTCTTTGCTGCAAGATGCACATGCCCCATTGTATCAAAATCTGTAGGTCAAATAATCACTTCAACCCAACATATATCTTATCCTAATGCCATCTCTAGCATAAAAACACCCAATTAAACAGAAATATAAAATTTAGACCACCATTTTCACTTCAATACTTAAAATACTTCCCAATGTCTATCAATTGAATAGTTTAAATTTTTTAAATTAGCCATCTTAACTATCAATGCAAATCCATAATCAATAACAACCCACCAATTTCAGCACCGAGCCAATTAATCCCTGAGATAAGAACATTAGAGGCGGAAAGCCGCCTCGTGGTCTCGCGGCCATACACAGCGAGCTGGCGGCTGTGCAGATCCTTATCGATATCCAACGACTTTCCCTCTCCTAAATCCATCATCGGCGCCTTCCCGTTACCGCTGCTGCCATTAACCTTACCCACCATCGTCGCCGTCATTGTCACCTCGCTCCTTCGACTCGCCTACTCTTGATTCATCGTCGTCGTAATCTCCGGCACGTCGTCAGTCTCATCGTTGATGGCTAGACAGATATACGAATATAAAGAGATTCTACAAAGAGAAAATAGGGCAAATTTAGGCGAATCGGTGCTCCAGTTGCCCGCAATTGCGAGGGGGAGCGATGGAGGCACAGCTGGTGGAGCGGCGGTAAGAGAGGGAGGGGAGAGGAGCAACGGAGAGGGATAAACGCCGAAGAGAGAGAGAGAGAGAAGAGGCGTTGGTTCGTGGTTTAAAAATCATATATATATATATATATTACACCATTAGCGACTAATATTTTTTAGTCGCTAAAAGTATTCTATAAATCTCTCCAAATTATTTGAAATATCTTCCTCTAAAAATTTTAGTTCTTTGGCGATTAAAATTATTTTTCATCGCTGAAAGTAAAATTTTGGCGACTAAAATTTTTGCGAAAAGTAAAAAATAATTTTTTATTTTCTAATCAACGACTAAATGATTTTAGTAGCCAAAACTCAATATACGGCGACCAAAATTATTTTGTCCCTAGAAATAAACTTTTGGCGATTAAAAATTTGATCACCAAAGATAAAAAATAATTTTTTATTTTCCATTCGGCAACTAACTGGTTTTAGTAGTCAAACCTCAATATACGGTGACTAAATTTTTTTTTGTCGCCAATTCTAACATTTTTGGCAACTAAATTTTTTTTTAGTGGCCAATAACCGATGTATCCCGACAAAAAAAAAATTAGTAATTAAATATTTTACTTTTGCCAACTGAAAAAATTTTTAGTCGCCATTTTTACCACTTTTGGCGACTAAATTTTTTTTAATCGCCAATTTTAATCGCCGAAGGTGCATTTTGTTGCAGTGCTTTGCCATTTGAGACTCACATCTTTACCTTATTTCCATACAGCTCTTCAATTTAAGTCTACCAAATGAAAGACAAATGACAAGTTCATACTTCAATAGGGGAAATTGGAGTTCAGGCTGCACAGCTGAAGTCCTGTTAGAGAAAGACCAACTAGGAACTTGCTAAAGCAAAGAGCCCATAAAATTGAAACTCAGAATTCAATTGAACAGGTGTTATCACATCACTGGGATAATCTACTAACTAGAATTAGCATGGTGATAAATTTGAAAAGTAAGTATTTCTGATGAAAACACTTGCTTCCCAATAGAGCTTGGGCTGCAAATCTGTCAAATGGGATCCATCCATGCATTAATAGCCAAAACTCAATATACGGCGACCAAAATTATTTTGTCCCTAGAAATAAACTTTTGGCGATTAAAAATTTGATCGCCAAAGATAAAAAATAATTTTTTATTTTCCATTCGGCGACTAACTGGTTTTAGTAGTCAAACCTCAATATACGGTGACTAAATTTTTTTTTGTCGCCAATTCTAATATTTTTGGCGACTAAATTTTTTTTTAGTTGCCAATAACCGATGTATCCCGACAAAAAAAAAATTAGTAACTAAATATTTTACTTTTGCCAACTGAAAAAATTTTTAGTCGCCATTTTTACCACTTTTGGCGACTAAATTTTTTTAATCGCCAATTTTGATCGCCGAAGGTGCATTTTGTTGCAGTGCTTTGCCATTTGAGACTCACATCTTTACCTTATTTCCATACAGCTCTTCAATTTAAGTCTACCAAATGAAAGACAAATGACAAGTTCATACTTCAATAGGGAAAATTGGAGTTCAGGCTGCACAGCTGAAGTCCTATTAGAGAAAGACCAACTAGGAACTTGCTAAAGCAAAGGGCCCATAAAATTGAAACTCAGAATTCAATTGAACAGGTGTTATCACATCACTGGGATAATCTACTAACTAGAATTAGCATGGTGATAAATTTGAAAAGTAAGTATTTCTGATGAAAACACTTGCTTCCCAATAGAGCTTGGGCTGCAAATCTGTCAAATGGGATCCATCCATGCATCCCTCTTAGGTAAATATGCAGGTATTTAAGAATATCATAGAAGTCGACATAGGTGTGGGTAGATGTGCCCAAACCCCTACATGGCATGCCATGGCATTGTCTCCTTGAACTTGGGTCCCACATGTTAGCTTCATGAGGTGACACATGGACCAATCAGCCATCTCTAAGTATCTTGATGCCCTCTCCTAGTCAAGTCACACCAGCTAACTAACGTACACAATGCCTTCGCCCTAAACCACAATTCTTTTTTCAGGACATCAAATTGGAGACTCTCACAAATCTTAGTCATATAAATGCATAAGGTGGTTTTTTCGGTAGATTTCAGTGTAAGTTTTCTAAATGAAACTGTATATTCAATTGTATGTTTGATTACAATCAAACCTTAGATTATATAACCCTAACTCCTAAACCAAAAAGGAAAATACAATCACGCCTCTTATAGGAAATACAATCACGCCTCTAATATGTTCAACTACAAGCATGACTAATTTAGAATATACACAATATATTCTCACACCCCCGCTCAAACTCAAGGTGTTTTCATAGAAAACATTGAGTTTGCTAAGAAGAAACTGAAACCGAGCAGTAGTGTGAGTCTTGGTGAAGAAGCCTACAAGTTGCAAAGTCGAAAGGATGAAAGGAAGCAAGATAGAGCCAGACTGCAAATGCTGACGAACAAAGTGACAATCAATCTCAATGTGTTTCGGCCATTTATGGAAGATAGTATTGTGGGCAGTCTGAAAAGCACTGCAGTTGTCACAATAAAGAGAGGTTGGAGAAGATTGAGAGACACCCAAATCAGACAAGAGACAACGAAGCCAAACAATCTCAGCAACGGCATGAGCTATAGCACGATACTCAGCTTCGATAGTAGAGCGAGCAACAACTGATTGTTTCTTACTTTTCCAAGAGATCAAGGAATCACCAAGAAACATACAGAAACCAGACGTAGACTTGCGATCGGTAATATCACCAGCCCAATCAGAGTCAACATAGGCCACCAAGTCCAAAGAGGACATAGAGGACAACAGTAAGCCCTGAAAATGGTACCCCTGAGATAGCGAAGAATGAGAACCAAAGCAGCTTAATAGGTAAAGTGAGGAGCCGAAACAAATTGACTAACCACATGAACGACATAAGCAAGATCAAGGTGAGTGACAGTTAAATAAACTAAACAACCCACAAGCTCCCGATATAAAGTAAGATCATCTAGAGGGACACCATCAGTAGAGTTGAGCTTCACATTAAGCTCAATAGGTATATCACAAACCTTAGTATCAGTAAGACTAGCATGGTGAATGACTTCATTAGCATACTTAGCCTGAGATAGAAAATAGCCCATTAGAGAAGAAGCAACATCAATACTAAGAAAATACCGCAATGGATCCAGATCCTTCATTTCGAAGGTTTGGAAGAGATACTGTTTGACCTTAGAGATAGTAGGAGAGTTAGAGCCAATGATGATCATATCATCCACATATAGTAAGGATAAAACCCAAGCTCAGTAATAGTAGTTTGAAAGCGATCATAACAAGCACGAGGAGACTATTTTAGACCATACAGAGCACACTGAAGACGACAAACCTAGCCAAAGGAATGGTAAAGAACAGGAAGAGGTGTAGATCGCCCGGAACTCCACTCCACGCGCGAGGGCGCGAATTGTTGTTCTTAGCTACTATAGTTCGGACTCATGTCATAGTTCTGAATCTAATCTCACAAAGTGCATTGTAAGACTGATAAATCACCAAAGAGTCCAAATCTACTAAATCGTTTTGAAAAATCGATTTTAATCAAAAAGCGCCAAACATGGACTGCTTTGCCAGATTTCAGAGTCGCCACCTAAATATTTTATTTTGAGAAATTTAGGAAATCCTGACTCATGCCAAAGGCCACGTGTCCGTCATCACCAAAGTTGCCTCACCTCGGGAACTTGGGTACGAGAGGGGAAGGTCATGCAATGAGCACCCCCGTTCGCCCGATTAAAGGATCGGCCTTTACTAACACGATATGTTATTTTTGAAAACACATGCGTTCTTATTCCGGTTTATTAGCTAGCTTACTATGTGATGCGCACAGCATACAAGTATAGACTAAATCACTTAATTTTAAACAAAACATCTCATGTTTGTTTGTTTGAAAACAGTTTGAAGTTGCTACTTGCAAGTAGGCTAAAACGCGGATTTTGCCACCCTCAAGTGGGCTTAGAAAACAACATGATTTTACCACTTCAAGTGGGCTTAAAACTCGCATTTTAATGAATTGTTCCAATTCAAGCAGTGAAGCCTTCATCCATAGGCATTCATGCAGTTATAGCAGTTAAGCAGATAGCCTCATGGCAAGCATGCTATCATGGTAGTCACTCACACTCATGCAAGGATGCTAAAGTATAAACACTCATAGTGTACTCCAAGCCAAAAAAGAAGCTAGTTAGTAATCAATACACGATCCTAGCTATGTCAACAATGCCTAATGCAACACATGCAAAATGCAAGTAAAATAGGCTCGGCTATCTAGAATGGCATATGAAATGCAACAATTGATACATGTATTCAAATTGGTATTGAAATACAATGCAATTTGTATGATGCGCCGAGCCCGGTGCATGCAAAACAAATGAATGGATGCACGCATGCAAACAAAAGTATGCTAATTGAAATATGCCCTAATCTAACCATCAAAAGCTGATAAATAAAATAGAGAAAGAAATGGGGTTGGAAGACATGCATCACACACACGCACACCTATTACAACATTTGCCCTCTTGACGGAGGGTCCGAATAATAAGCTAACTAGCTAATCTAAGCTAATTAAACTAATTATTACAAACAAAACTAATTAACTAATCCTAGATAGCTAATTATTACAAAACAAGCTAATTAGCTAACTACATAGCTAATTAAATACAAATGAATAGCTAATCACATTAACTACTTAAGTACATAACCAAATAGCTAGCTTAAGCAAAGCAACTACGTAAAGCAAATAGAAGGGGCCTCTGAGCGAGAAGCGCATGCATGCTCGGTCGCCTCGTTCGGAAATCCATCGCGATGCCCCCAACTTGCCTCTGTTTTCAATTGTTCTCAGAACACTATACAAAGCTCCAGATAGCTTTTGCTCCACCATGGGAACCTCCAAGAGCATGGCCGACCACTTGCCTTTGCTGCAGACCAAAAAAAGTGGTCGGCCAGCCACTTTTACTGGTCTGCCGACCAGTTTTTGCTGCACTTCTCCAGTTTGCTGTAACAGAGAACAAGAAGGGGCATGGCAATGTATTTGCAAGATATGTGTGCACAACTACTCTCC